GTTTTTCCAGAGCCGGATTCTCCTGAAAAACGGTACTGTAGCTCAGAAGGACCGTTGATTCGATCGATAACTTTGATGCTAAGCCGATCAAAAAATCTTCTGACAGCTGCTCACCCGATATGACAATACAGGAGTCTCGTCCATAGCGTTTCATCGAACGATACGCAGCATCAGCAATCGCAAAGACATGTGGAGGACGCTCGTAGATCTCACGTCCCTAAAATGTTGAAGTCTTTGGAATTTGTAAAGAGTTAGGACAAGGTTTGGTAGGGTTCTGTAGGAGGCACCGTTCAGTAAGCGAAAGATTTCAACTCGCTTACCAAGCTATTCATTCCCTACTCCTGCTTTATCTCCCGAACTCAATATTCCCGAATATCTTGACTAGATCTTAATCTCAACTCACCACAATTGGCTCATAATTCAAAACCCAGGCCCGTGAGAGGACACAGGGAATGGGAAAGAGTCAAAAAAAGCTCTTCAAAGAAAGGCCCTCAAAGATGGCTTGTTGCATATACATCATGGTGTTGAACTTCTTGAATACGTTTGCTGTGGTTCTTCATTCCAATGAGACCGAGTAAAGCCTCAAACATGCCCCAGTAAAGCCGTGCTTAACTCCGGTCGATTGCAGAAAAAGTTTTAGTTTCCCCTTCAAACCATGTTCTCGTTATATCGGCACTAACTCGTCCTGAATGACAATTTTTTGCCTATCTGTCCATGATCTTCTTCTCACAGCGATTGTGCCTTCAAAACCGATGTGTTGAGCAACTACATATCTAATACAAACATGGCACAAATAAATTCACACAGTTTCGCGACATGGGAGAAAAGATCCAGAAAAAAAGGGACCCATCACTGCAAATCTTTGCAAACACAGTAAAAAATTTATGGCTTGCCACCTTTTCTATGGTTCCTCTATAGAATACGGTAAGAAATATGACAAATAAACACTTTATGAACTCTTAATGTACAAATCCTGAAAATCCTCGTGAATTTTCTTGCATCCATGCAGTTTTTGCAGTGTAATGGATAAGTACGATGCCAGGAGAATGCAGATACAGGCTCGAATCCTACCTGACGCCAGTCCCTTCGCGCAAGTCTGGGCATTTCGGTGGAAATATAAAGGAATACGAGTTTGTACAACTGTATATTCGTTCTGAATTTTCACGGAATTATCCTGTCTGCTCAGATAATATGCTTTCTACTGATTAACGTCCCGTACTATTTGAAATCAAGGAATGGAATGAAATCGGTGGTGGAATTCCATTGAAAAAGAAAGGATGCTGATAAATGTGTCAAAAATGCAGTATTTTAATACAATAGTGTTAGAGATGTAAAAAAAAA